ACCTGCTGCACGGCGTACTGTAAGTCCGGTCTGGTGAGGGTCAGGTACTGAAGTGCACCCACAATAGAGTGGTAGAATGGCCCGTTTGGTGCAGGAGAGCCATCGAGCGCTGAGAGCTTGGCCTTCGTGTCAACAGGAGTAGCGACGGGCTTGCAGTTAAGCATGCCGGCGCGCTCAAGGAGCTCATGCGCATACTTCTGCTGATGAAGAAAGAAGCCGTCGGAACGCCGAACTACCTCGATGCCGAGGAAGTAGTGAAGAGGCCCCAAGTCCTTCAGGGCGAACTCGGCACTCAGACGAGCGGTAAGCTGACCAAGAAGCTCAGTCGAAGAAGCCGTGAGGATGATGTCGTCCACGTAGAGAAGAAGGTAGGCAGTAGCAGCGCCGTGATGGTACACAAAGAGGGAGGCGTCGGAGCGAGTAGCTCGGAACCCCATCTGCTGTAGGAAGGCGGCGATGCGCTGGTACCAGGCTCTCGGTGCCTGCTTCAGCCCGTATAGGGAGCGGGAGAGCAAGCACACATAGTCCGGATGAGTAGCGTCGATGAAGCCAGTGGGCTGCTCACAGTAGACCTGCTCAGCCAGATGACCGTGGAGGAACACGTTGGAGACGTCGAGCTGGTGCATCGGCCATGCACGAGAGACCGCGAGCTGAAGGACGGTGCGGATCGTGCCCGGCTTGACGACCGGAGCGAAGGTGTCGGTGAAGTCAACTCCGGCGTGTTGCCGGAAACCGCGGATGACCCAACGAGCCTTGTACCGCTCAAGGGTACCGTCGGAACGAGTCTTGTGGCGGAAAACTCACTTCCCGCTAATGATATTAGCATTGCGGGGACGCGGGACCAGTTGCCATGTCCGATTGTGTTACAACGCGTCGAACTCCTCCTGCATGGCGGCCAGCCAATGCGGATCACACAAGGCCGCGCGGGCGGAGGACGGAACCAGCGACGGTGAAGACGTCGAAGCGGCACACAGGTACTGCTCGGTAGGGTACCGCGTGCTCGGACGGAGAACCCCGATGTGCGCCCAAGTTGTGACCCCAAGCTGGGGCGCCGGGACGGGCGGCTGCCCATGGGCCACATCGGTCGATGAAGGAGTGCCCGACCCCGGAGATGCCGATGTAGACGGGCCCGACGAAGCAGCACGAGAGGACGCGCTAGAGGCGTCCGAGGTAGCCTCCAGGGCCTCATCTGAGGCCGCCGAGATGGTGGCCGACCCAGCCAAGCCTGGCGGGGCAGCGACACCCGGCGGGGCTGCTGCAGCTGGCGGGGTGGCGGCGTCTGGTGGGGGCATCGGAGGGCCGAGATCTGTCCATGGGCGCCCGCCATGGGGCTGAGGCACCGCTGGTGAAGGGCCGCCAAATAGAGGCGGCAGCGATGAGGATGATCCGTCAGCAGATGGTACCTGATGAAAAGGAAATACTTTTTCGTCAAAGTACACGTGTCGCGAGTTGATCACCCGGTGAGAGACGGGACCGTAGCACCGGTAGCCCTTCGTGTTGGGTGGATAGCCGAGGAAGATGCATGCAAGCGACCGCGGGGCGAGCTTGTGCGGAGCGGTGGCGGCAATGCTAGGGTAATAGAGACACCCAAATACGCGAAGGTCATCTTAGGATGGGGGAGTGCCGAAGAGAAGGTGATGTGGTGCATAATTCCAGCGAGTGCGACAAGGGCGGACATTGACCAAGAGAGACGCCGTGGCCAGGGCATCCGGCCAGAAGCGGGGTGGGACGTTGGCATGAAATAACAGAGTACGAACGCAATCATTCAAGGTGCGAAGGACGCGTTCTGCCCGCCCGTTTTGTTGCGAGGTGTAGGGGCATGTGAGACAAAATATGGTGCCATGTGTGGTGAGTAGGTGGCGGACGGTGAGATTATCGAACTCTTTCCCATTGTCGGTTTGTAAAGCGAGAATGGGACGCCCAAAGTGGGTGCTGACATAGGCGTAAAAGGCCGACAGAGTAGAAATAACATCCGATTTCTGCCGAAGCGGAAAGGTCCATAAATGACAAGGTAATAAAGATAGCCCGAGTTGCTCGCAACAGGAGATGTCCAAACATCGCTGTGAATTAACTGAAAGGGGTATGAAGCTACTGAGGAAGACTCACTAAAGGGAAGACGGACGTGTTTGCCGACACGACATGCATGACAAGTGTGATCGGCAGTTTTATTACATGTGAAAGAAAAACTCCTAAGAATATGACGAAGGGTAGTTGGGTTTGGGTGACCCAAACGAGCATGCCAGAGGTCCACACCGACGGAGAGGGCAACAGGAGCGGTGGCGGTGGTGGATGACGGGTGCACCGGGTAGAGTTCGTCATAGCTGTCACATCGGTGGAGTACCATACGAGTACGGGCATCCTTCACAGAAAAACCACAACCGTGAAACTCAACAGTGATAGCATTTTCACGGGTAAGAGAACGAACAGAGACAAGATTTTTAATAAGGTCAGGCGAGACTAAGACATTAGACATGTTAATAGGAGTAGAACAAGAAGGAAACGATGCATGGCCAATATGAGTAATTGGGAGGGAAGAACCATCACCTACAGTGATGCGAGTGGAGGTGTTGGTGGGAAAAGAAGTGACGAGATTACCGGGATGGGCAGACATATGAGCGGTTGCCCCGCTATCCATGAACCAATCGCCGCCCCCGGTGTAGGTGCTGGGCGTAGGGGCGGAGTGCAGCGCCGCGAGAAGCACGGGATCCCAGGGTGCAGCCGGCAAGGGTGGCGTCATGGGAATAGTAGGAGCACCGAGCTGTGGTGGAGGCGCCAGCAGCGCCGGGTAGGCGCCAAACTGCTGCAGAGCGGCGAAGTGAGCCTGGTGCTGCGCCGGACGAGGTCCAAGAATGCCGGGGGCTGGCGCACGTGGGATGGGCATCGAGTAGGCGTGGACTACTCCAGTCCACGGGTTATGCCCGAAGGTCCACGGCGGGGTGGGCATCTGCTACTGTTGGCCATGCGCCTCGCCCGTGTTGGTGCCGCGTGGCTGGCCCTTGCGGCCGCCCTTGCCGCCCTTGCGACCACCGCGATCGGTGGCAGGAGCGGGCCCCGGTGCCCCTGGGTGCGGGAACGGGAACGGCGCGGGCGGCTGGAGTGGAGCCGGTGGTGGCGGGGCAGGCGGGCCACGGGAGGTGCCCGCGGCGAGGGCGGTGTGAACAGCCCGAGTCTTGAGCTGCTTCATCCGGTGCTCCTCCAAGCGCAGGTAAGCGACGACCCGCGGAAAAGTGGGGTTGGGGATGAGCGTGAGGTTGGCCGCGGCGTTGCCGAACTCCTTGTTGAGGCCGGCGACGAGGGTGCTGAGGAGGAGGTCGTCGGAGACCTTCTCGCCGATGTCGCGAAGCTCATCACAGAGGCGCTTCAGGCGCATACAGAAGTCGTCCACCGAGGAGTTGTTCTGGTGGCACCCGAAGAACTCCTGTTGGAGGAAGACGAGCCGCTGGAGCCGATTGTCGGTGAAGAGGCCGTTGAGCTTCGTCTAGACGGAGTGGGTGTCGTCCTCGTCCTTCACCATCGTGTAGAAGAGGTCGGCCAAGATGGTTTGATAAAACCAACGAATGAGAGTAGCTTCAACGGCCGACCACTCGGGGTCGTGCAGCATGGCCTTGGCGTCGACGGAGCCATCCACGTGCTCCTGGAGATGATACTCGCGGAAGACGAGATGGAAGTAAGTTTTCCACGGGTAATAGGAGGAGTCCTCTTGGGAGAGACGGACAAGGACGCGCGTGGTGATGTCGATGTTGCGGATGTCCTCGGCTGGGACGGGTTCAGGTCCGGCGAAGGGGTTGGATCCGCCGGACAGGGAGGAAGAAGTGGTGGAGTACATGGCGTCGGGTGTGGGAGGGGGGGTTGTGGCGGCTGGAAGAGGAGGGGTAGGGGGAGGAGGGGGCGGCGGCAGGGTTGGTGCGGCGGCCCGGAGAGAGGGAGGTGGCGGCGGCTACGGTGCGGCGGCGGCGAGGAGTGGCGGCGGCACGGTGTGGCGGCGGTAGCGGAAGAATTTTAGGTTAGGAACGATCGGTATCTGATACCATGTGAAATGACAATATTTGCATTGATGATTGTATTGCTCATAAGCCATAGCATATATAGAGTACATGGGCTGCGAGATCTCAACCATATCCGCTATACAAGGAAGGATCAAGAGATATCGCTAAGCTAGGAAAGTAATTACAAGAGATCCTAGCCGCCAGATATACAAGCAATAACAACCTTGCTCAACATATCTAAACAAAACTACAACCAGAAATTTGAAGGGTGATCATGCTGTCTCGAGCTCGCCGGCAACGACACGACTCGTCGGAGCCCCCCCATCATCACGAGCCCCATCTTCCGCAAGCTTGATGACATATAGTGTTTTATGTAATTTTCATAAACCTGATCGAATTTTACAAAGTTTCACTTAGAACAAAACGAACATGCACTGCGATAGAGGAAAGTGGTTCTTAGTGATGAATACGATCATACAGTACATTTCTGTCCTGTTATTTGTCTTTGCTCAGTATCAGGCTTGACACGTGATAGAGGACATGTTAATGGCACGTGCTCTTGATCCCTGACCCGAGCTTAGCAGCCGTTAACGCCAGCTCACAGGCTGGTCTTGACCTTGTCGCTGTACCCGGTCTTCCCATCGTAGAACCTCGACCACAACATGATCCCACCGAACTTCTTCGACTTCTTCACCACCGGCAGTACCTTGGACACCAGGTCTGTCGCCTCCACGAACCCGCTGCCGGCGGCCTCGGGCGCCGCCGGGAGCCCGAGGAACACCTGCCTCGCCGGTATGGCCGTCCACTGCTCCCACGTGCGCGCCAGGTTGCGCACCCCACCGTCCGTGGTGTACTGGCACGGCGGGTTGTTATAGAACTGCACCCACACGTAGTCTAACAGGCCCGTGCCGAGCGCGCCGCCGAGCCCGCCGAGCGACGCGTCCGGGAACGGGCACTGCGGGGCCGCCGCCAGGTACACCCTCTTGCGCTCGCGTCCCTTCCCCGAGTACTTCTTCAGCTCCGCGCCAGCTCGTCCCAGTGCGCGCTCCCGCCGCTCTCGATGTCGAAGTCGACGCCGTCGAGCACCGCGTCGCCGAGGGGCCTCGACGCCGACGTGCCGCCGAGGTAGTTCTCCCAGAGGTACCTCGCGACAAGCCTGGCGTCCGCGCGGGACGAGAGGCCGTAGCTGCCGCCGCCGCCGCCGATGGAGAGCATGACCTTGATGCCGAGGCGCTGGCAGGACCTGACGTCGGCGCCCACGCCCGTACAGCCGTCGGACGCCGGGTCGCAGTGGCCCGCCAGGTTCAGCAGCGGCGTCTGTCCCTTGCCGAAGGTGTACAGGAAGGCCACGTTGACGAACTTGTAGTTGCCGCTCGCGCACGTCTGCGCCAGCGTGCCTTCGTTGCCGTTCTGGCCCCAGTAGATCGCGACGCCGCTTGCGCGCGCTCCGGCGGCCAGTCCGGCCAATGACGCCACGGAGATCAACAGCACCGCCGGCAACAGCTCGCTCGCCATCATGATTTCTTGGCGGTGCCGATGAAGCGATGATAGCCGAACGTGAAGAGCTCTGCGGACGAAAGTTCATGCTCTCTGTAACTCTATATGTAGGTGAATCCATGGAGGTCTGCAGAGTCTGTGCTGTTCTGCCGCGCCGCCGGGCATGAGTGACTGAGTGAGTGGCGAGTATTCTGAACTTATCGTGGTGTTGAGAGCTGCTTCCACTTCGCTGCGAGATGCACTTCCCCTCTTAACTTGCTTTGATTTGCTGAAATGTTCAGTGCGTGAGATAGGGATGCACTTCAGTTAACGGCACAACACAAAGCCCCCCCACTAGCAGATTTCCACAAGCCGAGCGCGAGGTTGACCCAATTGTTGACCAAAAAGTGTAAGCGGCGGCTTGCTGCACCCGATCTATAATTCGCCTTTTCGGACGGATGTAAAGTACCTAGCCGCTAGGTGGTCAAAGATAAAGACATATGGTTGAATGGCTAACAGGACAGTGATATCATTATCAGAGTTCAAGTCCTAAACATGACATTGGTGCTTGTATTTTTCTGGATTAATTTCAGGCTATCCGACGATGTGAGTTCAACAGGAGCAGATATTCCTGTCTACTAAGAAGGTGTCTGTGTTCATAGAGGTTGTACGCGCATATATGAACCAAACAATACATAATGTGTTCTAAAAGAGTTAGCTGGTCAAACCAAACAATACATTCTCTGTTCCATGATATATTACGCACTGATCATATCAAAAAGTCATACTCCGCAACTTTTTTTCGAAACGAATCATATCTATGATGAAACTATAAAGCATCTCAAACATAATAAAATTACATCGAGATTTCGAGACAACCGAACGACCACTACCGCTGCTGCCAGAACGAGTCGCCGACGCGCCGCTACCGGTACTCCCCTACCGAAGTCAGCTTGACCTTGTCAATGACAACCAGGAAGTCTTTATGCATGTTCCCCTAAGGATAAGCGCCCTAGAACGGTAGTCGTCGCTGTTGAGCTCTTGCATAGATCTGAAGTACCTGACACCAAATTTCACCAAATGACGAGAAACGATAACCTCACCGCCCAAGGAAACGGCAGTAATCTACGTCGGAGCTCCGTCGACTACGTCCATACGGACGAACTCGAGAAGAATCGGAGCCCAAAAGACAAACTCGAAGAAGAAACACCGCCATCCGCCCGAGCGCCGAACCTGCGAGAACTATAAAAACCTAACCTAAACTACTAACAGGAGCGAAGGGATCGGTATCCCCTCCCCGCCACTGGCCACCGGAGCATCAGACAGAGGGGAGGACCGCTGTCGGTGCTCCCCTCCCGAGGCCAGCTTGACCTTAATGACAGTCGGGAAGTCTTTGCACACCTGCCCCGAATGACCAGCGCCCTAGAGTCGTAGTCGTCGATGTTGAACCCTTGCATAGATCTGAAGCACCTGACACCAAATCTCACCACATGACGAGAAACCATAAGATCAACGCCCAAGGAGATGGTGGTAATCTACATCAGAGCTCGGTTGACTATGTCCACACAGACGAACGTGAGAAGAATCAGAGTCCGCAAGACAAACTCAAAGAGGAAACACCGCCATCCGCCTGAGCACCGAACCTGCGAGAAATAAAAAACTAACATAAACTACTAACCGGAGCGAATGCATCGGGATTCCGCTCCGCACCACTGGCCACTGGAGCGACAGAGGGGAGGCGGATCCACGAGCTAGCCAGTGAAGTTTGGAGGGGAGAGTTTGACATAGCCACCTAGGGTTAGGGTTAGAGGAGGAAAACGAGAGCAACTTTGATATTTATAAAAAAAAGAAAAAGCTAAAAATCTGACGTCGAATATTTAAGCATGGCAAATAAAATATTTTTTATGGCAAATCATGTGTCGCAAACATGACAATTCTCTTCAGCAAGCATGGCAAAACTTGGAAAAAAAGAACATGTCACAATTTGCCATGCTTGTTGAATGGAATTGTCGGGCTCGCGACACCAATTGCCGAGAAACTATGCATTATAGAACAAGTAAACAGACTTGCCGGTAATGAGATTGAACTAGGTATGATGATACCGACGGTCAAATCTCGGACAAGTAACATACCGATGACAAAGGGAACAACGTATGTTGTTATGCGGTTTGACCGATAAAGATGTTCGTAGAATATGTAGGATCCAATATGAGCATCTAGGTTCCGCTATTGGTTATTGACCGGATGTGTGTCTCGGTCATGTCTACATAGTTCTCGAACCCGTAGGGTCCGCACGCTTAACATTCGATGACAATTTGTATTATGAGTTATGTGTTTTGATATACCAAAGTATGTTCAGAGTCCCGGATGATCACGGATATGAAGAGGAGTCTCGAAATGTTCGAGACATAAAGATTCATATATTGGAAGGCTACATTCGGACACCGGAATGGTTCGGGTCGTTTCAGATAAGTTTCGAAGTACCGGGGGTTACCAGAACCCCCTTCGGAAAGTTATTGGGCCTCATGGGCCTTAGTGGAGAAGAGAGAGGGCCGGCCATGAGGTGGCGCGCGCCCCCTTGCCCCAATCCGAATTGGACAAGGGGAGGGGGCGGTACCCCCATCCTTCCTTCTCTCCTCCTCCTCCTTCCCCCCTTCTCCCACTTGGAATAGGAAAGGGGGGTGAATCCTACTAGGTTTGGAGTCCTAGTAGGACTCCCCCCCATGGCGCACCTCCCCTCTTGGCCGGCCTCCTTCCCCCCTCCTTTATATACGCAGGGAGGGGACACCCTAGAACACACACGTTGATCTTTTAGCCATGTGCGGTGCCCCCCCCCCACAGATATACACCTCGGTCATATCATCGTAGTGCTTAGGCGAAGCCCTGCGCCGGTAACTTCATCATCACCGTCGCCACGCGTCGTGCTGACGAAACTCTCCCTTGGACTCAACTGGATCAAGAGTACGAGGGACGTCAGCGAGCTGAATGTGTGCTAAACACGGAGGTGCCGTACGTTCGGTGCTAGGATCGATCGAATCTTGAAGACGTACGACTACATCAACCGTGTTGATAAAACGCTTCCGCTTTCCGTCTACGAGGGTACGTGGACACACTCTCCCCTCTCGTTGCTATGCATCACCTAGATAGATCTTGCGTGATCGTAGGATTTTTTTTGAAATTACTGCGTTCCCTACAGTGGTATCAGAGCCAGGTTTATGCGTAGATGTTATATGCACGAGTAGAACACAAAGAGTTGTGGGCGATAATAGTCATACTGCTTACCACCAATGTCTTACTTTGATTCAGCGGTATTGCTGGATGAAGCGGCCCGGACCGACATTACATGACCGCGTTCATGAGGCTGGGTGTACCGACGTGCTTTTGCACATAGGTGGCTGGCGGGTGTCTGTTTCTCCAACTTTAGTTGAATCGAGTTTGACTACGGCCGGTCCTTGTTCAGGGTTAAAACATCACACTTGACGAAAAATCATTGTGGTTTTGATGCGTAGTAAGAACGGTTCTTGCTAGAAGCCCGTAGCAGCCACGTAACACTTGCAACAACAAAGTAGAGGACGTCTAACTTGTTTTTGCAGGGCTTGCTGTGATGTGATATGGTCAAGGCATGATGTGATATAAATTGTTGTATGAGATGATCATGTTTTGTAACAAAGTTATCGGCAACTGGAAGGAGCCATATGGTTGTCGCTTTATTGTATGCAATGCAATTGCCATGTAATTGTTTTACTTTATCACTAAGTGGTAGCGATAGTCGTAGTAACAATAGTTGGCGAGACGACAACGATGCTACGATGGCGATCAAGGTGTCGCACCGGTGACGATGGAGATCATGATGATGCTTCAGTGATGGAGATCATGATGATGCTTCGGTGATGGAGATCGAGCACAAGATGATGATGGCCATATCATGTCACATATTTTGATTGCATGTGATGTTTATCTTTTATGCATCTTATTTTGCTTAGTACGGCGGTAGCATTATAAGATGATCCCTTACTAAATTTCAAGGTATAAGTGTTCTCCCTGAGTATGCACCGTTGCTATAGTTCGTCATGCCGAGACACCACGTGATGATCGGGTGTGATAAGCTCTACGTTCACATACAACGGGTGCAAGCCAGTTTTGCACACATAGAATACTTGGCTTAAACTTGATGAGCCTAGCATATGCAGGTATGGCCTCAGAGCACTGAGACCGAAAGGTCGAACGTGAATCATATAGTAGATATGATCAACATAGTGATGTTCACCATTGAAAGCTACTCCATCTCACGTGATGACTGGACATGGTTTAGTTGATTTGGATCATGTGATCATTTAGATGACTAGAGGGATGTCTATCTAAGTGGGAGTTCTTAAGCAATATGATTAGTTGAACTTTAATTTATCATGAACTTAGTCTTGATAGTTATTTTGCATGTCTATGTTATTGTAGATCAATGGCCCGTGCTACCGTTCCTTTGAATTTTAATGCGTTCCAAGAGAAAGCTAAGTTGAAAGATGATGGCAGCAACTACATGGATTGGGTCCTTAACTTGAGGATTATCCTCATTGCTGCACAAAAGAATTATGTCCTGGAAGCACCGTTAGGTGTACCACCCGCACCAGCAACTACAGACATTGTGAATGCCTGGCAGACGCGTGTTGATGACTACTTGATAGTTCAATGTGCCATGCTCTACGGCTTAGAATCGGGACTTCAAAGACGTTTTGAACGTCATGGAGCATATGAGAGATCCCAAGAGTTGAAGTTAATATTTCAAGCAAATGCCTGAGTTGAGAGATAGTTCTTCAATCACTGCCATCAAGCTATAAAGGCTTCGTGATGAACTATAATATGCAAGGGATGAACAAGACTATTCCCGATCTCTTCACAATGCTAAAGGCTGCGGAGGTAGAAATCAAGAAGGAGCATCAAGTGTTGATGGTCAACAAGACCACTAGTTTCAAGAAAAAAAGGCAAAGGGAAGAAGGGGAACTTCAAGAAGAACGACAAGAAAGTTGTTGCTCAAGATAAGAAAC